GCTTTTATTGCCTGCCACAGCAAAAGAGCCAGCTAGGAGGCAGTAGCAATTGCAGTATTGTGCTTAAAGTTTCTACAAATGTTTTCTTGTCCTTCAAACATAGCAGCACTAGGAATCAGCTCAATGGCATAAGGAGCCTGCATGCAAACTCACATTTGGGGCAGACACACTTCACTAAGCATGCCATTTTGATTTCTCTTTTTTGTCTATGAGGCCACAGAGGCAGCTGGAGCATCTCTCTTCTGTTGAACCTCTGCTTTTTTTCCAGCCCCTCTCCTACCGAAGGCAGTGAGCGTGGGCTCCTGCAACGGCTTGCTCTGAGCTGTCAACGCCTGTAACCTGCCACTCTTGGGCTTCCCGGCTGGACTGACAGGACCTGGCCGAGATCCAAGCAGGGTGATGTCTCCGAGACGGGAGCAGTGAACTTTGTTCCAGTTTTTCCTGGCCCTCTCCCAAATGGACTCAGACGTTGTCTTTTTGAATTGCTTGCAGGTGAGGGGATTGAATCCTTTCAAATGCACTTGAATAAGATTATAACCAATGGTGTTATAATGTGACAAATGGAGTTTCTTGCTGCGAGGCGTTTGATAAGAACCTTTTTGACTTTTCAAAGGGTAATTTTTATTTAACAAGCTTAAATTTATCTGTTGTGGCCAAAGCTGAAAGTATATTCTGACAATTGTGACTTCTGATTATACTTTAATGGACTTGTTGCTTCCAATGTTAATAGTAAATATGTAGTTTCATCTGCAGTTGGAAACGTGAGGTCATGGGGACCAAGGTGGGTGGGACATAACTTAACCAGGGTGGGACAGTCCATGAGCTTAAGTGAGAAGTGCCTTAACGTTCATTTGTCATTGCCCCATGAGACAGCATCAGCTTAATACCCGCTTTCCTGGTAAGCCAGTAAATGAGAGAAATTCTACAGATCAAGAAACTCCTTGTGCATGTAAGAGAGTTGATTTAGACAGCTAATTAATCAGTTAAGTAACTGCCTAGATCTGATTAATTAGCAGTTAATGGTAAGGTTCTGTCAGATTAAATTGATCTCTAGTAACCCAGAGGACAACTATGATCTTACAATCACTGTGATTACTTTCCCCCTGTATTTTTGCAAGAACCTCAGTTAAAGGTAATATGATAATTTAGGACTATTATATAAGTCTTTCTTCTTGACACAGGACAGTGCTTCAAGCGCTACTGTAATTTGGAGCAATGCTATTCCTAATGCCTCGTAAGTGAGATATGTGATTAAGTAATCATTGAATTTTTTTTTTTTTTAGGGAAATTTTTGTAGCTATCACTAGTTTCATATTGCCTGTCGATTCATTGCCCATTGAAGTGCGGATTGTTGCAGGCAGCCAAATAAACAGAAAGCAAACAGAGATATTCACGTTGGTGACCAGCGTGAGAAAAGTAAATGGAAGGCAAAAAGCTTAGCTTCCAGTTTGTCTCGTAACCCTGACTTGGTGCTTGGTAAAGTGGAATTTTTTTTGAGTAGTCTGTGTCAATGCCATCTGAACAGGAACTGAGCTATGCACATTTTGGGTGCTTCTCAACACAAATAGTTTGAGTCATGTTACATATCTCAAATATTTTGCTCAGAAACAGGAAGGCATATGCCCACTCTGGATGTCATCTGAGGGATGCCTGGAAGGCATGTCTGGCAGACTTCTACCAATATCATTGCAGATTGACATGATCACTTTAGCTGTGTCAGGCCTTGTGGATTTTAACTTCCACATGAGTTGAAATTAGAATCACTGGAACCTCAGTGGTTTTTTTTTCCTTTTTTCCACTCCTAACACTACCTTTGATCTTTAACAGAGATATTTCTATTTACTTCAGAAGAGACGATGTAGTCAAATGGAAATAATTGCAAGATTTTTCTGATAAGTCACTTGCTGTGTTTCCACATTTATTGTATCAGCTATTACTCATGTACCTACTTGTTTATTACTCTTCTTGAAAGAGCAGGAGTGAAGTGGGACTAATAGAGCTAAACAAACTGGTATTTATAGTTCAGTTGTTGAATCAAAATAAAAAACCCTCAAAAACTTGAATTAGAAATCTTTTAGCTGAAACTGCTTTTGACATATTATATTCAATTCAGCCTGAAATTAAATGAGTTGTTTTGGGTACATCTAAGAAAAGCTGAAGAAATGTAGGCATGGTTTACAAACTCATAATGTAAATCCAGCCTTTTTGCTTTTATCCAGTAGATCCATAACGTTTTATCCTCCAGAAAGTGAGATTCAAGTTTGTTTTCTCCTTTATAAAGCCATCTGAAGTGGGAGAGGTTTCAGCGTGCCTTGTTTTATTCTCTCTCTTTGGTTTGTTCCACTTTCCAATTTTAGTGAATTGAACATCCATCACAGCAGACTGCAATGCTGGTGCACGCTTTCAATGTGGGCGCCTTAATCTGTAGTCTGGAGGGTTTCCCTCTCCTCCTGTTCCTAGATCTTCTCTCACTGCAAATGGAGAGGCTTAGGGAGAGGGCCGGAATCCCACATCCTCACCTCAGTGCTTAGGGTATATCTCTAGGGGTGAGACCCTGCTTCAAACTCAATGTCCACCAGAGTCAGGACAAGGGCACTGACACGGGTGTCTCCAGTCTGTAATACAGCACCCCGAGTGCTGTGAAACAAGGTGGTCTGGGCCAAGTCTTCTCCTGCTGCAGCTGTTCCAGCTAGGAATCGGGATGCCCTCCTGGTGGTATGAACTCAGTGTTGTCTCCTATTTACCTCTCACTGGCTTACCTAGTTCCTGAGCTCGGGTGTAGCTTTCATGGGCTGGGAAGCCCTTCTGCCAGCAAAACTGCCATCCCAGGGCATGCTTGCAGGTTGCCATGGCATGACCACCTACCATTGCACAGAGGGCAAGTGAGGGGCACAGCTCAGCAGGGGATGCAGCCTGTGGGAGGGGAATGTTAGGGGCCATGGTTCCCAGAGACAGCCGCTGTAGATTCATCCTGAACCACCCAGTAAGGTGGGTATAGACTAGCTCTATTTGAGTGGCTATGTTTATCCATTTCCTTCTCCTAATTCACCTGTCTGTTCAGAAAGGATAGATGGTTTTCCCACAGTGCACCTCCAGAAAATTGAGAAGAAAGACATATTTTACTGCAGTGCAGAGATAAACATGTTACGCCCTTCTGAAATGTTGGTTTTGCAAGAGTTGAGTACACTTGAGCGGACATAACATTTCACAGTGTAACTAATCTCACTCAGGTTGGGTTTATTTAGGAGAAATAAACTCAGGTTACATGTATGAGAGTTATTTCTGCAGTGCACATGTGATTTTTTTTTATACTTTTCTTTACACAGGGAATAATAAATTCATACTCTTAACGAGAATGAGACAGAAGTCAATGTTGCTTTTGAAAATTTGATTCTGGCTCAAAGACTGCTTATCCAGTTTCTGGAAAGTAAACAAAAGTTGGAGTTAAAGTCACTGAAAGGCTCTGCTGAAATCCATTTCAATTCCTTCGGCACAAAGCATGCAGGCGGAAATATTTCCTTGCCAGTTAACTAACACTTCTCCTCTTGCTCCTGGTACTGTGGCTGATTCAAATCTATGCAGTTCGTATAATTATACCTCACCCTCCTCGAACCCAAAGCACACATGAAACGAAGAAATGACAGGAAAAAGGCCATATGTCAGAGTAATTACTATAACTTGGTCTGTTTTTCCCTTGCTTTCTGGCTTGGTATTTGAGGTTCGATGTTAATTTGCTTGTGTAACTAAAGGTGTTTCCTCTGCTTGTTTGTACTAGCTATGATTTCTAAACATCCTTGAAATTAATTACCATAACATCTCTCCTCATCATGATATTACTTGGATTTGAGCCACTTATAGAAAGTGCTTCTTTCTATTTTTGGACAGAAACAGTAGGGAGCCAGAAAAATATGTATTTGTTTGCCTTTCTATTTTTGGTTTGAAATTGCTGGAAGCCAGTAGGTGGGTTTTTATTTTCTGGTTTAAGATTTTATTTTCAAACTAAAACAAATATTACATATGAGGAATGGCACATATCCGAAATTACTGCTTTTAGTAACAGGAAAAAGTTCTTGTTAGAAATTATTCTGAAGTGTGGCTCTATTTCTGGAAATCCTTTCTTGCTCACTTCAACAGTCTCGTGTCCTCTCCTATTTCACTCGATTCTTTCGTATGCAGAGGAGTGATTTTTATAGGAACTTTGCTGGCACTAAAAATTTAGTATGTTTTCCTTCATCTTGTAGACTGCAGTGATTCTTTCATCATCTGTCCATTCTGCCAGCCAAAGGAAAATCATATAGAGAGTTGACTATTGGTTGTGTATAAGACATGAAATCACCTGAACTATCACCTAAATGGATCACTGCTAACTTTGTGTATCTTTGGAAAATAAGGCCTGCTGTCTGCTGTTGGACTGCACAGATTTTGGTCTCCAGAACTTAAAATTGCAATTCTTCATAGAATGAGTAGTTTGGTATGAGATCTTATCCCGTTCAGAAGAGCTGATAGATTACCTAATTGCAATTCCTAGAAAACACTGGGAATTAATTACTCAGCCAAAGCAGAAATAAAAATCTTATCAATTTCTTTCAAAGTAAAAACCAAAATGAACAAAAAAACCCCAAACCGCCTTGTTTATTCTCTATGTATTTCCTTAAACCACCCAATCCCAAAACTGAACCCAAACAAACAAAAAGCAACCCCCCAACCACATCTATAAGCTTTATTCTGTTTATTTCATAGAAAAGCTTGGAGAGATTTGAGTTAGTGTTCCTTATCACTGGCTGACTTCTAAATCAGTAAAATCAGTTCATGTGACATAGCATTATCGTAGGAAAAGGTCTTTCTTTTGAGGGGGTGGGTGGAGTAGGGAGGGTAAAGTATAGCAGGTCAAAGTGTATTAACACATTTTTTTAGTCTGCTGTCAAGACTTATGTTATATGAAAATATAATATAGAGCTTAACTAAATATATCTTTCTCTTTTTACAGCTTTCCCACTAAGCTTTGAAACCATTCATGGAACCTGATGGCAACGCTCTCGTAAGTGTAATGGAAGTTATGCCATATTTACTGATCAGTTGAAAAGGTCATATGCTGGGGTTGTGTCCTTGTAATCATACAAGACTGTGGGCAACATCAACATCCAAACAAGACCTTGCTTATGGGCCAAGCCAAGTGGTGAGACTGCCACAGGCTGACCCAGTTCTGCTGTAAGGATGAAAGCAAGTCTACTGTATGGGCCTGTGTTCTGGTTTGGCTGCGGCCGGCAACAAAAGCGCCACGTGGCCGCCCATCCCCCGCTGGGGTGAGGAGGAGAATGGAAAGAAACAGGCAGAAACTGGTGGGTCGGGATAAGGGCAGTTTAACAGAACAGCAAACAAAGGGAATAGGAACAACAATGGTACAGATAAGGAGAAAACACAACACAAACCGCACGACCCAGAGAACAGCTCCCCCGGACCAGCGTTGCGTGCTCCCGAGCCGCGAGTGAGTTCCCGCCGCCCAGCTCCCCCCTACCGGAACCCAGCATGACGGCACATGGTATGGAATACCCGGCTCTGTTTGGGCAGGTGGGGTCAGCCCGCCGGGCTGTGTCCCTTCCTGGATTCCGGTGAAAATTAACCCTGTCCTGGCCGAACCCAGGACAGCCTGATGCCAGGGGTGCCCTCATTTCCAAGTCCTACTTGTCAATGGATGAGAAAGAAGTAACTTAGGATACATGAGCTTAGCAAAGGGTTTGCTTAGCCACACATCTGTCTAACCCTTGGTAAGCTTCAGGAAGGTACAGCTCTGTAGAACATGAACTACTGATCACAGCTGCCTTTGGTGCCTTCTCAGACTCATGCACTGTGAGTGGAACTTCATGAGACATGAAGTCTTGTCTTCAGTATTAGCTCAATGCCCCTGCTTTTGTGTGTAGAACAATCTTTTCTTTCCCTCGAAACTGCCTCATGCACCTATTTCACCCCATTTTTTTCTCCTGGGGAGTTTGTAGGCTGCAAGCTGCTCAGTCTCTAGGCAGAAACATCCCCTGGGGAAATCCTTGACTGCTCCTGGCAGCTCCCTAGAGGGATGCTGCCCACCCGAGTTTGGTTCCCAGAGACAATTGCTCATGGCCACCAATTTGGAAGGGAGGCTGGAAACATGTAGCCCTCATACTATATATTTGGAATTCCTTGCTGTCAGGCAAGGACAGGGTAAGGGGAGCCACAAGGGTATGGGCCCGAGGAAGCTCTAGCAGCTTCTAATGATTATGATCAGTGGCCTGTGACCCAGGGTGCCTGGAGCCTTTGATGCAGCTCCCTCTTATTAGGAGAGTCAAGCACCCTTGAACTTGTGCTCGGGAGGGACCTGAGTCAGGCCCAGAGCACAGCCAACAGACCCAGCAGTTTGTGCAGCAGGGTGTGAAGGAGGAGTGAAGTAAGGGGGCCTCAGTTGAAATTGTGCTGCTGTAAGTCTTAGGCATGGAGGTAACAAAGCAGTTTCCCCAATACATGTGGGAGCAGCTGTCCCTGCCAGGGCAAAGTCTTCCACACAGAGTGAGCTTCAGATGGCAGATGCAGCCCTCCAAGTCCTAGACTGCAGGAAGTGCCTGGAACCTCTCTCTGAGGCCAGGAGAGAGGGTCCTCTGCTCTGCAGGAGGTGTCCAGTCTTGGAGGAGCTCTGCTGGCAAGTGGAAGAGATGTGGGAGGAAGTGAGCAGACTGTGCATCATCAGGGAAAATGAAAGGGTGATAGATAGGGTCTTCCCTGAGACACAACAGCTTGAAAAGCCTCAGTCCCCATCTGCAATGAAGAAGCACGCAGTGTCTACCTCTGCTATCAAAGTAAGAAAAACTGCTGGAGAAGGGAAAGGATGGAAGCTGATGACTTCTAGTAGCGAGATGAAGGCTCCTCCCCCACCTAAGAACTTGCAACTGCATAGTAGACTGACTGTCCTCAGATTTAAAGGGGAGACATATGTGCCTACTAGCAAAGGACCTGGTTCACCTAACTGTAAACTATACAAGGTTACCAGGAAAAAACAGTGAGTCATCGCAATGGGTGACTCCTTGCTGCGGGAGACAGAGGCACCTGTCTGTAGGCCTGGATAACCATCTAGAGAGGTTTGCTGCCTGGCAGGGGCCAGGATCCAGGATGTTGTGGAGGGATTGCCGAAGCTTATCCAGCCCTCTAACTTCTACCCCCTGCTCTTTTTCAATGTGTGTACAAATGATACTGCCAGAGGAAACCAGTATATGTGGGGACTGCCCAGCTGGAAAATATCTTTGCAGAAAAGAACCTCGGAGTCTTGGTGGACATCAAGATGAACATGAGCCAGCAATGTGCCCTTGCTGCAAAGAAGGCAAATGGTAACCTTGGCTGCATTAGACAAAGTATTGCCAGTAGGTCAAGGGAGGTGATCCTTCCCCTTTATTCAGTGCTGGTGAGGACACACCTGGAGCACTGTGTCCAGTTCTGGGCTTCTCAGTACAAGACAGACATGGACATACTCGAGAGAAACCAATAACGAGCCATAAGGATGATTAAGGGACTAGAGCATCTAATATATGAGAAACATTTGTGTCTACTAGCAAAGGACTTCTTAAAGAATGTAAATACCAGAGGGGAGGGTGAAAAGGTGACGGAGCCAGGCTCTTTTCAGTGGTGCCCAGTGACAGGACCAGAAGCAATGAGCAAAAACTGAAACACAGGAGGTTCCCTCTGAATGTCAAGAAACCCTTTCTCACTGTGAAGGTGACCAAGTACTGGCACAGGATGCCCAGAGAGGTTGTGGAGTCTCCATCCTTGGAGATAATTAAAAGCTCTCTGGACATGATCCTGGACAACTGGCTGTAGGTGTCCTTGCTTGAGTGGCAGGGTTGCACTAGATGACCTCCAGAGGTCCCTTCCAAGCTCAGCTGTACTGTGATTTTGTGGAAAAATAGGATCTCTAAACTGACAGAAGTGTCTCACTGAAGCTGTCGCTTCTCTTGTAAGTTTCTGCTCATCAGTGGAGCCTGCCTGGCACAGATGTGGCTGTGAACAACGCTCAGTTGTACAGCTCCCTTTGCAGCTGGCTCATGGGTGTATTTGCCAAGTGGAGCAGCAATGGACAGCAAGCTTGAGGCCTGCAGTGTCCTGCAGGATCACTATTCCATCCTGTTCAGTCCTCAGGTTTCAGTAAACTGATGAGTAAACCAAAAACTACCAAAAAAGATTACAAGCTAGATGGTATTGCTAGACTTGCACAAAAATGACAACCCTCCAAAAGATGCAAATAACTGTAGTTTTACATTTATTTCAGAGCTTTCTGAGGATTATTGGTCTCGGATTTTCCCTGTTAACAAAAGCTAGAAATAGATCTGATTTTTTGGTTCATTTTTCAGTTGAACCTGTGATAATGAAATAAATTGTTTGTCGCCAGGAAACTGAGCTGTATAGAGAAACGTCCACCTTTGTCAGCAGCATAGTAAAATCGTGACATTTGGTTGAGTTTCAGATTGTTCCAGTGACTGTATGTGGTAGTTACAGTACATTCGCATCTGAAACTGCTGTTACGCCCCTGGTCGGTACCATTGGTTTTACTGGTAATAACTCTGCCTTCTGCAGTCTTCTCTTTGTTCTGGACTGGTGCTAATGTCTCCTATTAGGAGTGAAACTTAAAAGTATCTCTTAATCGATGTTCACTCAGGTTCACTGAAATGAAAGATTGTTGACTCTCATAAGCCAGTTTTCAGAGAAGGAAACTTTACTTCTTGAGGCAAGGGTTGCAACTGGAGACTTGCTAATGTGTTGTATTCTTGTGGAAAACTGAATCCAAATCCTGCTGGTGAGGCATTTTATGAGTTTTGTGGTGGATTCATTTAAATACAGGTTTTATGTCAGTTTAAGATCAAAATTGTTTTACTGAAAACTGTTTGTTTATTTCATAAAATATCTATCTGACTCCAAACACTGGTGCTTTGGAGAAAGATGTTGCTTTTGTTTGCTTTTAAATCAACAAAATTTGGGAAGACAATCTTGTGAATAACACTGGATTTCATTGCTGAAATCTGGGTTTAGAGGTTTCTCTTGTGCAAAGCAAAAGAGATATTCTTTATAAGACAACACTGGGCTTCTGAACAGCACTAAAAACAATTAAAAGTTGCTGAGTTCCAGGTTTAGCATTAATTTATTGAAAATTTACTTCAGCTTTCAGGAATACAGGGAAAGAAAACCAGAAATGTGTCTTATTTCACAAAATCTCACTCAGCAGTCATTTTATTACAGATTTATCCCTGGTTTTATCCAAGCAAACTAAAGGCATTGCAGGTCAGGGAAACTGCCCTTCCTCCCCCCACTTATTTCCAGCTCCTCTCACAGAATATGAAGAGATGGGGATTCATCATCCCTGTCAACTTACAACAGGATACCATCATTACAGCTGAATAACAAATGAACATTTCTGAATTCTATTTGCTACCTCGAGCTCTTGTTAGGTAATCAGGTTTTTTTCCCTTCAGTATGTATGTAAAGTGGGCCTTAACAGATTATTTACATAATATGGATATTAACCCTTTCTTGACAAATGAACCATAGACCATGTTATTTTGCTGTAGATCATAAATAAGGTTAGTGGAAAGATCTGCTTCTTCCTTGGTTGTTTACAGAGAGCCACATCCTGTCTCACTGTTGCTCTTCTTGTACAACTTTATGTTGGTTAAAGATGAAATGACCCCACTGTAGTATCATGGCAAGGATGTGACATTGCCCCACTACATAGTTTCTGTGCAAGGAGAGCTGATTCATATTTGGTTTTGTTAATGTCACTTTGGGTAGCTCTAAAGGAAACTAATTAGTGTGACTGCATGAGCCATTGATTCACTGAGGCCACATATTATTTCCACATGTCCTAAATAGGGCATTACTTTCTTCGGTATGAAGACATAAAGGGCGGCCTGTATAGGATGGGGAAATAGCGGAGCCTCCAGTTAGAGCCACTGTGTTTTCTCATTGCTTTTCTATGTCTGTTGTCATGGAGAATAGTCTGAGAGAGAGGCAGGCAGTGATAGAATTAAAAAAAAAAAAAAGGAAAAAAGGGAAAAAGAATATGTGGTGATTAAGCAGGAGTCTGGGATTATTCGTTCCTGGTAGAGCCTCCCACAAGTGTGTTGTTCAGGTCAACTCAAATAGGCACCAGATAAGCACACGACTGTGACATGCGGTTCTGCACTCTGGTACATGCTGCGAAGATTAGTGGTTAGAGACAGTTCTAGTTCTTGTAAATACTGGTGGCAGTGGTGTCTTCTATTACTGTTTCCAGATGGTGTAGCTTTACTCACTTCTAATATGCCTGTGAGAAGAGCCATCAAATCCTTCAAGAATAATATGAAATGGGGTTTTGTTTTCCTGGAAAGGCGGTTGGCTAGGCAGAGGGGCTGCATTAGGGATGTTCATAGCGTAGCTCTGCAGCAGATCAGGTAGCTACCGGCTTTGCATAGCAACATTGTGGCCGAGCATATTAAATCATATGTCACCCTATCCAGCATGTGTCATCCGGGGGCTTCAAAACCTTCCTATAAATAGAAAAAGTGAATGCTTTTGTTCCCATGCTAGAGATGGAAAGGTTGAGGCAAAGAGAACTCAGGTCCACAACTGCACAACCAGCCAGCCTGTCTGGGGAGAATTTAGTCCAAAAGCCAGACCTTGCATTTCTAATGACCTCTTTTTCAGTCTGGAGTCTTCTGTTAGTTTCATTTTCTATATGTTTATGTAGGATGAAATATGTAGACTGCAAAAGAGTAAATATAGTTCAATTGTGTTATTTTTGCTGTGACTAAAACTCTCATATATGCCATGGTAAACTTCTGGCATGTTTATATTTTATGGTTTGGATAATCTGTAAGGTTTGTGTTGGGTTTTTTTTTTTTTTTAAAGCAATATTATGAAACCCTTACATAGGGGTAAATGCATTCTCTGCACTAAATAAACAGAGAGGAGTGGAAAATCAAATTTTTTTCTTTTTCAGGATTTCTTAGAATGAGCTAAAGTACAATCAGACACCTGGCATGTATTTTTAATCTCTCCATGTTTGTAAATCCCCCTTGTGGAGTGTAATGAAGCATTAAAATGTTTGAGTTCTAACTTCTATTTTTTAACTTCTGAACAGAGAATACAATTCAGGCAAACACACAGCAAAGTAGAAGCTACCCGTGGGTGTGAAACAGGAAGCACTAGTAGATAGACACACATATAATAGAGTTACATTTGCTCTTGCTCAGCTAGCTATACATCAATTTTAATTAACACATTTTATGCTTCAGCTACTAGCGTCCCTTCAGCAGTGAGTGGGTTATGCGTTTCCATCCTGCATATACCACCAGCATCACCACCACGTCCTTCTCCAGCTTCCCCCTCCCCTTTCTACACAAATGTTGCAACACAATCTGAAATTTCCTCTTTTCTTTCCTTCCTGCATTTCTTACAGGTTCCTTTGCGTCAGAAGACAAAAAAGAAAAGTCAAGGTAATGAGAGATTGTTTTTTCTTTTCTCTTCTGGGTTCCTTTTTTGTTATTTTCTTAGTATGTCTTTTTCCCGGGAGGGTGAGGACTTTATACTGCTACTCAGCTTGTTGAAGGCTGCTTTTTAACTCCACCGATTCTTGCACCGATTCTGAGAAAAATAACAATGGGCTGTTCCTTTGGATTAAATCCCTGTGGTATGTTAATTGAATCAAAGCTGGAAATCAGTAAGGTGGAATCAGCTGCTTGCACATAAACACACACTAGTGGTTTTCGTGTACTTGGCATAATAGTTTTCTCTAGCTGACTTAAATAGATGTATTCTTTTCAGTGCAGCTGTGTGAAGGGAAATATATGCATGCTTCTCTTAAAAGGATCAAAGGATGTATTTTTAATTTACAAAAGCTTGTGCATAGTTATCTTAGAATTAATTAGTGTCTGCATTATCTATAGCTTACTATTTTGTTTCTGCATATCAGAATGCCTTTCAAATGAATGTGTGTTACTGTCACAGCCATTATAAAGCTGAATGACTTCTAAGTATTTTTTAAGATACGCTTGGATGACTTGCTGAGATTGCTAAGTAAGGTTGATATCTTTAATTGGCAGCAACATCTTTCCTGGTAATGCACTTATAAACAAGCAGAATACTGTATTTTTAATGGCACAGGGTTCTTTATAATGAGCCGAAGGAGGATATCGTGTAAAGAGCTGGGGCAAGCTGATTGCCAAGGATGGCTCTACAAAAAGAAAGAAAAAGGAGCTTTCATTGGCAACAAATGGAAAAAGTTCTGGTGTGTGCTGAAGGAGTCATCGCTATATTGGTACAGCAGCCAGCTGGTGAGTACAGCATCCATCCAGCTCGGGGTGCCGGACAAACAGCATCTGCTGGGACGGAGAGAAGGGGAGCTGGGGTCACAATTTAGATGCACCCTGGAGATGTACAAATGACTGGGTTTATTTCTCAGCCCTGACATTTCTTGTAATCTGGGAAGCGTCTATATGAATGTGAAACGTGCAGAAAACTGTGTTTTCTAGTTCAGTGAGTACTTGTGAAATGTTAACTTGCTGTCTGTTCTGCCCTTTAAAGAGCTGCTCTTTGCAGGCACTTGTGGCATTTGAATTTGGGAAAGGTTTTCCTGGGTTGGACAGTCTGCAGACACTTGCTATCAAGACTCAAAACAGGAACGCTTCTTTGCTTCTAATTAGTTAAATTTTCAGAAGTCTCTCTTCTGCTTCTCTCTCCATCCCCTTCCACACTGACATTAATCTGTTTATTTGTTTGTGGTGTTTTTTTTTTTTTTTTTCTAATTTCTTCTCTTTTTTTCATTCTCTTTATCCACAGTTTGCACTAGTAGGGTTGTAGATATGAGCACTGTCAGTCGGTGATGTTTTTACTCCCGGTCTTGCTGATGTCTCGTCCACAACATTCTAATTAAAGGTTCTCATGTTCTGCTGATTTTTAACTTTGTGCTCTGATGAGTTGATGCTAAAAGTCAAATGTGTAGGAGGACACAGTGTTTTGAATTCAACGTCCAGCTTTCTCTTCAGAGGATGAGCTTTCCTCTGGACAGCTGGTATAGATAGCATTTCTCTTCCTGAAGATCCAGCCCAAGTAGCCCACTGCACTTACAGTGCGAGTGGGAAATAGTGTGAGACAAAGAATAGCAGGTCCTCAATTCCTGTGATTAAGTGAAGAAATTAGGAATTAAAAGCTGAAAAAGGGGAGGCAGGTGGGTTGGGGAGGGTGTTAGGGGGGATGATGTAATGAGAAATCCAGAGGAACGCTTTTAATGTGAGATTATGGCTGAGTGCAGAGAAGCAGTGAGTCCCAGGGAACAGCTGGTTTTATTCTTGGCTGTTTGCTACAGCTTGCCTTGATTGGGCAGAGAGGGTGTCTTGCCTGTCCTAGGAAGATTCAGACATAATTATTCTCTTATCTTTGCTCTTTTGCACTGCTCCCTCTAAGAAAGCTCCTATCACATTCAAATGATGGACTGAAAGAGCCCAGAATTGGGATGTGCATAGGATTAGGGGACATCAGCAACAACATTGGTTGAAACTCAGCAGCTTCAACGTGGAATTGTGGATGGGCATCAGATTTCCTGAATGCAAATGGGCTGCTCTGGAAATCAGCATGTCACAGGCCCAGCAAAGGATGAAAGATGAAAGAAACCCTTATTAGTTCTTAGTGCGTTTTAAGAAATTAAATGCAATCATCTGGATTGTTTCTACTTGTTTATTTCTATTGCAGTAATCCCAATTAAAAATCTTGCTGCTTCAGGGAACAAATAAAATAGTTTAAATCATTAAAAAAACCCCCAAACCCTAAACAAAACTTTACTCATAAAGAGTATTTCACATTCTCCCTTCAGCTGTGGGTGCAGTGTTGTGGTTCTTTTTAACAGAATAACAACTTTGACTGGCATTTGAAGATGGTATTAGCTTTTATTCTGGGGAAAGTGCAAACAACTCTGCTGGTCTTGGCCTGCTGGTTTTTGTGGTGTTGTGGTGGTCTGATTTAGCTTCCTTTCAAGACCAAGTCAAATACATGCACAAGAGAAAGAGAAAAGACAAAGAAAAGATACAGGAAAAGTAAAAAAAAAAGCTTTGTTTTTCCAATGCTTACAATATCTTTGCTTGAAAGACATGGCCTGGTAGATATACTCATCAGCGGCGTTAATACCCTGCAAACCCTTGTTTAGGATTGGCTGTTCTAAATCACTGCTTGCAGTTGTACTTCTGGCCAAGTAGTATTAAGAAAGGTGAGCTGGCTGGCTAATTTGCCTTTTAAACATGGGAAGCATCAGAAAGGAATTATTCTGAGGAGTGATCAAGCTGGGAGGAAATAAAATGAAGCAAGACTAGGCAAAGTTTGCCTTCTGTGAAGAGACGAGTAGTGAGGGAGAGGTGCAATCTCCTCTGCTTCCTTTAGTAGTTGTGGACTGGTTCGATTCCACTCTTGGGATCCAGAGAAGCCATGGTCATGCTGATCCCAGTGCTCCTTGACAGCGTGTGTCAATTGAGTGAACTCATCCCTTTAGTCCATGCCTACTTTCTGGCTGTCACTGACTGCCCCCAAATGAACAAGACTGAAGAATGGGTGGCAGCCTCTTTCCATTTTATTTCATATGCTTTAAAGAGATCATACGGTTTCAGAATACTGTTGGTTTATGTCAGCCCTGGCATCTCGCCTATCACAGTTCTGCTTGTAAACATGCTAGCTGGTAGCACCTCTTTGCTTTCAAATTCTGCTGACTCTCCACACACTACTTGATGTTAAAAGCCCGAGGTTTCTTTGGATGACTGAAAGTGCAGCCTCTGCGTAACTGTAGATTCAGGCAATGTTTGCAGAATGGCAGTAACTCTAGGGTGTGGGAGGAGAGGAGATGTCCTTTGCTAAGATCTGCTTGCTTAAATTGATGAGACCAGAGCCATGCTCAATCATATCTGAGATGAATTAGACCCATTGTATTTTCACAGATATTTTCACTTCTAGATTGATGAAGCAGAAAGAGCAGTGACATATTCACTTGCTTGCTTCATGTTTCTTTTTATTATCTGGACTGGCTTTAATATTGCCTGCACTTCCACTGCCTTCAGTGGAGTTAATCCTTGGTCCCAACAGGGCAACCAAGATGACAATCATAAGAACATAGCTGTGTTGAAAGAGGAGGAGCCCTGCTCCTCACGTGCCCAAGGCTTCCCATGACAGTGCCTCTTTGGGGCTGAAGTGAAAGGTGGTGGTGGAGGAGCAAGGCTGAGGCTGAAGGAACTAGGGCCACTAGCTGCCTGTAGCTCTGCCTGACCAGTTTTGTTCTTGTGAGAAACGAGCTTGTTTTGTTTGCAGCTGTGTGGAAACCACAGTCAACCAGACACTAGCAGCTGTAGCATAGCAACAGGGTGCTGGACCTAACCTGTTTTTCTGATGGAGATGGAGAAAATAGGGAGTGGGTGGAATTTGTACAGGAACGTGCATTCTCCCAGATTTGGGTAGGTAACTTCAGCTGACATCGTGTTCTTGGTGAAGTCTGTCTTCAGGCTCCTGTGAAGCTTTGGATGTTACTGTCACCCTGATTTAATTTGCCTTCAAGCCAGTCTGGTTCTGGGTCTTTCACATGAGGCAGATTGGGGGAGGCAATATAGGACATTTGTGGTGACATTTGCAGATGGTAGTTCCTTCAATTTACCATGAAATATGTTGCAAAAGCCACAATTCAAAAGAGGAAAAAAAATAATAAAATGCTGAGAAGGATCAGCAACAGCAGATCAGACAGCCTGAGAGTCAAACTTCTCCTTCACTGAAAGCAAACCAGAGCACACAGGCAAAGGCAAATCCAAATTAGCTTTTGACCGGCTAGCTGAGTTACTGAGAGTAGTGAAGTTAGGGCCCCGGTGGTCTGCAGCAAGCTTGGGTAGATTGCCCTGAAATCTCCTCCCCCGTATTCTTGCCCTTTCTATAAAAACATGGACACCACATGAGGCAGGTAAACTTTCGTTTGCAGCATGGATGTGCACCCAATCTGGCGAGGGGAAACTGTCTGGACTAGGAAGAAAGACAGAAGGGTTGGTTTTGCAATGGAAACACAGAAACTGTCAGAAAATGGATCTGAGCGGTCAGACTTTCTGGGTGCATTCAGGAACACCAGACTCCTTGGACAACAGCTCTTCTTTAGCGTTTGGTCCCCTCTCTCAAGTACTGTTCTCTGCAGGGAGCTGTCTTGAAGACAAGTGTTTAAAGAGTCTGCCCCTTTTAGTTCTCCTACTGAAACCCTGGAGGGAATCAATATTCCTGCATAGGAAGAGAGGTGGTGGGGAAGACTGTCACATGTAATCCCAGGCTCCTGGCTTCTTGTGCTTGTTGCGACTGTGTTGAATAGCATTGGCTGGAAACAGACAGAGGACTAAACGCCTCTGTCTTGTGGGCCTTTAGGACAGCTTGGCTGGTTTTCCAAGTAGAGTTGAAATATAGTTTTGCTGGATGTGTTAACGATGGTTGCCATGGGGATTCAGCTGAAAAGAAATATAAATAAAAAATCAAAGGGTTGCAGGCTGTGATCTACTGTCACTATTTATCTTTGGGGTTTTTTTTTACCCGTTCACTGCATTTAAATTGGTCCTTACTCCAACAATTTTGCCAGGAGCTGTATAATTGCAGTCTTTTAAAATAGAAACCTTTTACCTTTGAGTTATAGTAGCTGCTTACATGAATGATAAAATGTCATTGATGTCATCTGGTTGTGCTAAGGGCTTTGAGGACCTCTGGTCCAATCTCTTACACAAATTATTCACAATTCTGTAGGCTGCCTCACTGATGTACTTGTCAGAGAGAAAAAAGACCAAAAATGCGTGAGGACTGATCTGCTCCTCCACAGGGTCTTCTGGGGGCAGTGCTAAAACACTGTGGTCAAGCCATGAGGAGTACCCTGAATTGCAGATTGGAGCTGTTCCACAATAACTAGATATTTTCACTTTACAACACTATTTTTTAAAACCTTTCTGCATCATTACATTCACTTTCAATATTGAAAAAAGTCTATTAAATGATTTACTAAATCTCCTAAACACACAACATTTAGACAATGTATTGAGGCAGGATAAAAAGGACATTAGCTTCTTTCATTACATTCATGCATTATGTTTCATAAGTATGTTTGAGATTTTTTTTTTTTTGAGGGAAAAGCTTTTTCTGCAAAAAAATGGTTGCTTTCTTTTTGCCCCAAGCATTTGCAGAGACTGTTGTTATTATTAAAATTATTTTCCCACAGTTAGGCATAGCCTAACATATAAATCTGAACGTTTTGCTAACCTGCGTAAAACCCACATGAGATAACAGCTTATTTTTTTAATCATCCTGATTAAATAGGAAACAGGTCAAGGTTCTTTTAATCTGAGTTTTTTTAGGACTATTTTACAGCATTGCAATAAAATATGAAGGAAGTTTGAGTGAAATGTGTGCGTTATATAATACCATTCTTAAAGTCGTGTTAAAGATAACATTTCAGAGAAAAGCATTTAGGACTTCTATACACTTTTAACATTTTAAAATGTCATTTTAATTCCAAGAATGACCAAAAAGATGACTTCCACATATTCTGCTCCTAGTGTTTATTTGGAATTCTATTTGCTGACTGTAATAACACTTAAAAGGTTTTACTGTTATGATTTGGTTTCCTTTTTTCCTTAATTTTTTCTGCCAATTATGGAACTACCTACCCATCAAACCCCTGTTTTCTGTTATATAGGTGGCACATCTGAGATGTGTACCAATAATGCATTAAAAAAAAAATCACACTGTTATCCTCCTTTCTTGCACTCATACATAAAATGAAACAGTAATTTTTTCATGTAAATGAACAAATGTGAAATCACTGACAGAATTAACATAAAACCTGAATGTATTGAATGTAATCTTCTACCAGCTGGAACATATCAAAAACTGCATCAGAAGTCTGGAGTTTTCTCTGTTATAAAACTGGTAGATGTAAATTACTGAAGTCAAAACCTACACACCTGTTTTCACTAGGAATTCAGAGAGTACTCCTCTAATTCAGATACTCATTGGATATGTCAGTGGTTCGAGTCCAAGTTCCATCTCTGCATGGGTGGGAGTACCCCAGGTGAGTGTCCTCACACTGGCTCACAGGATCCTGATAGTTCACTAGTGCAATACAAAATCTGAATGCTCAAATATTTGTATGCGTTGACAGTAGAGACAGTGACTTGTCTAGTGCATGGACTTAATTGCCTCATGAGTGCTTGTGCAGCACCCTAAGCAATTTATAGGATGCAGTCTAGACCAATGGCTACTGCACAAATAGATCAAAAAATGGCTGAGTTGTGACTGCATTCGTAACACATAAGGCCAACCCACCCCAGACCTTAGTCACCCACTCGCCCACCTGATGGCTCACCTAGCTCAGGCCATGGATTTATTGGTGTGTGGGTGAGAAGATACCTGGGTATGTTCCTTCACACAGGGTCTTCTGGATCTCTTTTTTTTAAACTGGCTTTATTGATTCATACTGCAGAGAAACAACTGGCATTGTATACGTTTCTTATCCAGCAATGTGTGTAATAATGGTCCTTTATCTTAGAGCTTTGCTGTCTTCTCAAAACAGCAAGGATCTACTTCAGTTTAATTACAATCACTCTAGTAAGTGGAAGTTTTACATTTACGGATAACAATACCTCATGAACTGCTTTTTTGAGGGTTGTCTCTTGTGTTTTTAGACTGGTCTTGGGAACCAAACAGGTATTTTGGTGTTTTTGCTGCACCTGGTCTAGTAAGTGACCACACTTTTTGGTACAGAAATGCAGGATAGCATGTTCTCTATCTTTAGTACAATGCAGCCCATGAAGAGAGCTCCTCCTTTACTCATCCTTACTCATTTGCTCATCCCTATATACTTAGTGTACTATCAATCTGGGATGAAAATACTAGATTAAGGTCTGATTGATTGAAATATACATTTTTAAAAAAAAAAGTTTTTTAAAAATCTTGTCACTGTTTTTCTTTAGTTAATTGTTTTTTTATCTCAATAAGATTAGTCCCATTGAATTCCAAGATGTGGCATGAAGAAACAGCTCTTCAAGCCAGGCTTTAAACAAGCTTGACACATATAAATACAATCAGAGAAAATGAAAAACCCACAATAGCAAATAAGCAGGTTTTGGTACAAAATAAGCCATGTTGCAAAATCAAAGTTTTTGCAGCCCAGATACTGATAAACAGTACTATTTCTGCTGTACCGAAAGCAAATAACAAAGAAACTGCTTCCACTGCTGCTTTTTTTTTTTTTTGGTCCTGGAGCAGGCAAAACCATTTACTGATGAAGATGCAAAATATAAACCTCTCGTATGAATATTTGATACATGTAAACTGCAGGAATGACAGTTATGCCATGAATTATTGTGTACAAAAGAACAGATATGCAGAGCTGCGGGGAAGCTACGCACTGAAAGATCCATTCTGTATCCATATTTCAGTTCTCAGAGATTCATACTTCCAAGAATTAAAGCTCAAAGACTTGTCTTGATGAATGTCTTTTTATAGTCTCATCTTATTCATGCACAATGTTACTTGAAATGCTGTCAGTCATCTTCATTTATCCTCTGTCTTTGTAATTGTTGTGTATATTTTACCTGCTTTAACTCAGTCTACTTTTTCAGAATTTTGATGTACCCAGGGACAAGGGCTGGGAGCAGCAAGAAAGTGATTCAGGAATGAACACTTTCTGCATTTTGGAAAGTACATTTTCTCCTGACATTGTGCGCTCCAGACTTTTGTCTACATTAGTGCTCCTCTTCAGAGGAGTTGTAGTCTTATTTCAGCTGTTGGGGTGAATGTAGATAGATGTAGTAAAGCAAGCTGTTTCAGACAGGCAGCCAGAACAGGGATTTGAGGCTAACAGGTAACTTCAGTTTTGCTGGAGCCACTCTCTGACGCAGAGTCTGGCTGACCCGGAACACAGATGTCAATGCTCAGTAAACTCCCTCCCATTCAGAAAAGGGTGACTGCATCTAAACAGTGTACTGAAAATGTCTGCCTGGCTTTTGCTGCCTCCTGTACCTTGCCTGCAAATTTTGGTGGGGGAGCGATAGCTGGATGGCCAAAGCCATCTGAGGCTGGTTTGCTCTGTTTAACAATAGAGCTCAGCTGCGTGGAACCACCTCCCTGCTCTGTTTGACCTCCTGGCATGGGAGCAGCCCACATTGCCTCTGCCTTGCTCATGTACAGGCATACATAGGTGATGCTATGAAACAGTCCATGTTACAATTACCCAGGGGAGACCCTCCTCCATCTCTGTCTAGGGTCATTTTGGGTCACTTTTGAATTCCCATTGCTACAGACATGTATTTTTCAAATACATATATGTCATTATCTGCAGTGCTGTTACACATCTGTGTTACCCGCATGCAGGCTGTATAATGGCTCCTTCGAGACTGTATGTAACACCCAGACCTGAATGAATGGTATAACCCTTATTCGCCCTTTCTTATGTCATCCATCTCTTTTGAGAGGCTTCTGTTTTTAGAGTTGAGATTCAGTAGTTTCATTTTCTGTGGTCTATGCACAAAGAGTGGCTGGTCTCTTTGTCAAAAGAAGTTATGTGGTCACTGATGGCAGCAAAGGAATCGGGTTCCTCCACCTTCCTGACGTTTTTAGTCCTGGTTTGATTCAAACCTAAATTTTACCCTTGACAATTTCAGACTCTGGACTAGACTTAGGACTTAATCATGGATCTTAGATAAGGGTGTTCTGATACAAGTACTTCGAGGTGAGGAAGAGGGGGAATTTACCTCAGCTCTGTTGTAGGAGTTGATGATCCTTCCTCTTTCAGGTGCTTTGATATTTGGAAGCGTACAACAAATCCTATGCTCACACTCTGCGACTTGCACAGACAGGAGTGGTGGCTTTCTAACATCTAGGACTTGCACAAATAGTAGCTGGTATAGAAATATTTCTTCTTCCCAAATATCAGCCAAAACATCAGGTGCTAATCTGTCCCCATGGTGATGAGCATATATTTTCTCACTATAAAAAGCTGTCAAAACCAAGCACATGCATGTTAAATATTGCTAAGCATTGGAGTCTGGTAGTTTACCAATTGGTTGATGTGGTGATTTTAATTTTTTTTTTTTTATTGCAGGCTGAAAAAGCAGAAGGATTCATCAGACTTCCAGACTTCAGTGTTGATCGAGCGACCGAATGCAAAAAAAAGCAGTAAGTTTATCTCTTGCTCCCAGTTTTCATGATTTTTACAATGTTGTAAAGAATTGAATATCAGTAGTGCCTGACAACGAAGCTGTAGGGAGCTCTTCTGTGTTGTATGAATAATGAGATATTAATTGAGCTACTGAAAGAAAACCATATTGCAAAAATATTTTTGAACATCTCTGCCAGATGTGCTCTGTTAAAGCTACAAACAAAAAAGTAGATCAGTATGCCAAAAGCTTTTTTTTTTCTTCTCTTTGTTTGCTGAATATGAGTAAGTTGTATTCTATCTGAGATACCTTCTCTTCGAAGGGGAGGTCAACAGTGGTGCAATTAATGCTGCTTCCCTCAAAGCTGGGACTATTCTTTAGGCTGCTGTGGTGCAACTTTGTTTAGCAGCATACAGGTTTCAAAATATTGTCTCCAAACTCTGTATGTAGCACTGACTTCCAGCTGCTTCTGAGTACCCTTCAAAGGTTTGGACGAGTGTTGTTGCTGTTCAGAGTTCTAAAGTTCAGCATGGTTTTTATTCTGTCCCTCAAGAGAAAGCCTTCATTCTTCTGTTTGGCTCTCATGCTGACATTAGCTGGAGGTGTTCTTGAGACTAACTGCAGGCTTGACTCTTCCAAGGAAAGGGGACAACTCTCTTGAATATGGGGAGTTCCATTTTGTTTTCTCAGAGGAAAGGCTGAGTCACACAGTACAGGACCACAAGAAAACATTGCCCTTCACTTCTGCAGCTGTTGGCTGTCAGTGACTGGGAGGAAAACACGTGCTCATCACTTACATGGGACAGTAAGTTAGGAGAACTGTGGAGAGGGATCAGGGCTGCTGGGGCCCAGTCAAATAGTGTGTGCTTCCATGGGACAAAGTCAGTTATCTAATGAGGAACAAGAGGGAAGCCACACAGTCTTAGGATTGGAGACTATGTTTTAGGGGGGGAAAAAAAGCCCTCTGAAAAGTCTTACTGATGGCTATTCAAATAAAGCATAGTCTGGGGCTGAGGCCAGCAGCTTAATTATTGGTATATTGAGGGACTGCCTCCAGTTTGTTTGTTTCAAACCTGTCACCTACTTGCTTCTTTGGTACCTCCTAAAACTTGTCTTGGAAAAGACAGTGAAGAGTCATTCCCTATTCACCTGCTGCGTGCCACTTGTGATTTCATTGTATGATATTTCCCTTTTCTCAACCATCAGTTTTCCATGCTATGGGGTCTTAGCCTGATTAATCACTGATGGAGGCTGTTTCACACCTTGGGTCACCTCTGGTGCTTTCTCTGAGCCTTTTTGAGGTTTACTCTGCTTTTCTGAGCTGTGTGCAGTATTCGAGATGTGGGCACACCACTGAAATATGTAACGGCATAATGAAAGTCTTCTATTCTTCATTCTTTCCGTTTTAGTTCCTGTAGTTCATACACTCTGAATAATGTGTGGCATAGGAAATGAGCTAAAAATAGACTAAAGTTGTAAAGAAAAACCTATATGGATGGATAAGCTGATCTGGATTAATATAGTGGAGTGAATAAATATTTTAAATAATTCATTCTGCTATTTTTTTTCTTTTCTTATATAAACTACTTTTCTTCATATCTCTTCTATTTTTCTTTTTTTAAAGTGCTATTAAGATCAGCCACCCACAAATCAAGACATTTTATTTTGCGGCAGAAAATGTTCTGGAAATGAACACGTAAGTAGGAACAACTGGCCATGTTTCATCCTGTCTCACACCTGAGAACACCCTTTGAAAGTTCCTTCTCTCACTGTCAAGCAGTTGTTGACACAGTTATTTGGGGAATTACTCAGTCTGTTTTGTTTCCTGGTCACTGTATAGGAGGAAAATACTGCTATTTGTTCACTAATGATAGTTGAAATCAGTATCACATTATTAGCTTGATTTTGATACTGATCTTCTCAACATTTCCTGGTATAAATCCCTTTCCATCAGAGAGGCATAAAGGTTTGATAGCAAGTTCATCACCTTGGGAGAAGTGAGGGAAGAAGGGCGAGAGAGGGAAAAGCTTAATATAGTTTTGTCCTAGAAGTGATCTAGGACTAGAACATAATATTGTCTGCTTTCAGAGTCGCATGTCAGTTAGCAAGGAGGGTGAAAGATATAGAAAGGGCTGTTTATTTAATGTAAGTAAGCATTTACTTCACCACCAAACTATGTTGCAGTTAAACAATCCTCACGGCAGATTAGAAATTTTCTTTCCACAAACGTCTGTGAGAACAACAATTCATTCATGCAGCTTTTAATGCAAGAAGTAAAAATGGACATGAAACTGCTGTTTTAGAAACCACTGAGCTATCAGAAATAGGTATTACTTGCTATTGATCCAGTTTTGGCTGATTTAGGTACATCTCATGTCTTCTTTGTCTTTTTGACTTCAGATTGCAATCTGTGCCCACGCTATTGCATTAAATGGGCGAACACTGGACACAAAGCGGTACAGTTTAAATGGGAAGAGAGCTCCTATGGTAGTCAGGTCAGGATTTTAATCATGGCTCTGCTGGTGATCTTTGTGTGATTCTTGTTAGGTCATTGACTGTTCTTTCCCTCTATAAAGAGGAGATCTCATACATAGTTACCACAACAGAAAAGGACAGAGGTTGAGAGAACATGTGTGACCTTCTGAAAGGGCTATAAATACAGAAATGTACAATACTACAGTAGTGTATGTACATATATATTCATAAATCTGTACTCTATAGATGCATACAAGTAAATATAGATGGAAAGAATGTGTTGTCCTTTGCAACTTGGAGCAACACAGAGCATACTGGTGGTGAGACAACCATCCATGTCTGTGTTGTTGTGTTTCTTACCAGTGCTCTTGAAAGCAGTGAGAAGTTCAAGACAGATGGGCTGAGGGTGACTGAGAATGAGCGACTGCTGGACAGGAGTATTTCTGTAGAGAGAGTAACCCTGGTTGAGTGAGAAGAGAGGGAAGGATGTAGGGACAAGGAAAGGGAAAATTAGAGCTGATGGGGGACATTAGTGAGTGCTAACAGCCGATTTGGAACCCAGATGGAAATTCTCAGTGTATTAATGACACTTTTGAAATGTTTAGTCTCGTGTGAGTGAGTGATTGGTATCTATGCAGGTGTCCCAGCTTTTATGCCCCCAGAATAATTTTCTTCACGTTCCACTCCTCAAATAAATTTAATTTTGGCTTAAAGCTAGGCAGCCTAGCATTAGAGCAGCTTGCACCTTACTGCACTAATTCCTCACTGTTGTAACTGATGATGTTTTCCTTGGCAAGGTATAAAATCTGTGCATTTAATACATAAAGTACACGCATACTCACGCATATGTCAAAACAGACTAAAAGACATCTGTTCTCTTGGCTGCAATCCCAATACTGCATAATACATATGCGTGTGAGTTGTTCCACTGAACTCACTGGGGCATTTGCCTGTGTCGAGTTACTGGTGTGCACAAATGCTTGATGGATCATGACCTTTCGTAGCTCTTCATGCGTATATATCTATGAAACCAACAGTGGATTTATTAATATAGTCATTTGCTTCATTAATTTAACATGCATTTGCCATCGTCACGCACACATGAAAAATAAACGCGTGCTGGCTAGCTACGTGCATTTACCTGGCCTGTTGCACATGGTTACTAGTGATCTGTCTGACCTTGTGGTTAATGAAGTCCTGGATTTTTCAGAAAACTTTTTCTTTTGCTAAGATTTTTTATTCAAAAAACCCCATTCTGTTATGATTAGCTGTTAGAAGAAAGTCAGTAATGCACTGTCATAGACATGACACTTTGTTTTCTTGAATTGTTACGTGGCTCTGTTGTTCATACTGCAGTCTAAAAATTCAGTTACTCTAACACTGATCTTATCAGCAAATTTCCCATTGCTTCAGTAGAATCAAGATCAGACACAATGTTTTTTCAGAGTTATGAATCTTAATTCCTGCCATTCATACATTCCCTATTTATGCCTTGAGTTTTAATCTGAAAGACTTAAGGTTTTTTTGGTTGTTAGTTTCTTAAAACCGGGATAGAACCGAATGACCTAGAGGCAAACACAACATGCAAAACGTACATCTAGGGATTGTTTCTAGCACTACAAAAATGCAGCCACAAAGGAAGAGAAATGAAAAAAACACCCCTGTTAATAACCAAAAGCAACACAGGAAGTGAGACTTACTAAAAACAAAAGTACACAGGGAGTTGAAGAAAGCAGTATGTAATGGTCTGAAAGTCTGGTTTTAAATGGCTGACATTCTTAGACTGTGCTTTGGCCAGGGCAGCTGACGTCATCTTCTACGGCTCTTGTGCCTTTAGCTCCATTTCAGGTGAAACATGACAGCTCAACAGCAGGGCTGAGCCACTGACATTGTGTTATAGCGCACATACTTTGCCTTTAGCTTCCACGAACACTACTCCTTGGTCATCAGCAGTGCTTTTTTCAGGATCAGCGAAAGAAGATGTCCCAGGCAACTAGTCCTGCTCCACATAGGGAATATTTGTATTCAGGTAACTGGTGCTTTTCTAGAAGATGACCTAAGAAATAGAAAGAAACTTTGACATTTAGTCTTCAAGTTAATGAAAATAGATGTGGTGATGTAGAACACATCTGAAAGGGGCAAAGCTCTGTCCGAACAGCATGCAAGTATTCTTAACTCTGTATTCGCTATGTTTCAAACACAGGTGGCTAAGTAAGTTGGGGATGGCTGTAGACCCTCAGGGACCCAACGGGAAGAATGAAGAAGGTATGCTCCTAGCGGTGGTTTCAGTGTGTAACTACATCATTTTCTTCACAGTTTTTGCTTGGCCAAATTTGTGTCAGCTCTTTTGTTTCTTTTAAATTGTCAGCTTGGGACTGTCTACCAGATGAGCTCACAGGAACTGCCCTGACACAGCACAGAGTAATCACAGAAAAAGAAACAATGGTAGAAACAGTGCCGCTGAGAGACACTCGGTGATCTAATGAGAGCTGTGTAGCTACCTTCTGGCAGTTTGCTGGCTTGATAAACCTACCAAATGCGAAGAGAAACAGTTGTGCTACTCTGGGTTTTGAGTTGGTAAAGTAAATTACAGGACTTCAGCTACAGCCCGGGAGCTCGCAAGCTTGGGAACATCTTGTTCAATGTAGACCTGTCCCTAGTGTCTCCTGCATTTCTGTGGGTTTCAAGACCAGCAGTGTAAGAGGGGTGGGGGTGGTAGTGGTGTACTGAAGCATACAAATTCCTTCAGAGCCAAGCCCAAGAGTTCATTGTGGAATGAGTTATTTATAAAGTTCCTTAGCAATTTATTTATTGTTTTAACTTGCACACTGACCTAACGGAACTTTTTGGTGGGAGGATACCTGCACTTGAATCGCAAATCTGGGTAAAGGATGAAGTGAGTCACCTGTCAGAGTGCTTGGAAAGGCTGCTGGTGAAGACACACGTGATGGGAATTGGTTTAGAATGAGAAGTGCTGTGAGTAATATTATTTAGCAAACCAGGGATGGACTCTGACCTGAGGGAAATGTATCATCTTCTGGGTTTTTGACCCTCCATTAGAGTATTGGTACCCAGCACCTTTTTTAGAATGGCTCAGCCTCAGCCTGTGAAGGAGCTGGCATTATGAACAAGAAACTGGTATTTGTAGTAGTATGAACACTTAGGTGATGCAACCTGTGTTGTCTAAACACTGAAATGCTCCTCTCCACATTCCTTCTGCTGTTTCCCAGAATAAGGTTGTGGTTTATGTCCAGGCTTTGGATGCGTAATGCCATTATTGATTAGCCTGATCTGGCGTTGTTTGTGCTCTTGCTTCATTTATACTCTGCCATTAAAAGCAGCTTTGGGGCTGATAAACACATACCACCAATTTCATGGTAAACATATATACCACTGGAGGTTCAGCCGGGCTCATCCATTTTTTTTGTCAGGAAACTTATTAACTTCCATACCTCCAAATTCCTCCAAAATGCCTGTGTCCTCTTTGAACCCAATTTTTAATCAAAACAGTCTGAGATAATTAGCATAAAAGGATATATAGGGGTTGGACCAGATGACCCACAGAGGTCCCTTCCAACCCCGACCATTCTGTGATTCTGTGATTCTGTGATATTGAGTATTAGACTTTCTAGCAAGAACTGCATGGTCATTGTACTTGGGGAGGAAGTGTCCAAACATGTTGTCCAAGTTTTCACAAAGGAGGCGTTTGGAAGATGAGGATTGTCAAAATTCTGTACATGAAAAAAAAAATTTTTTTTTAAAGCCTCATAATATGTAGTTTTGCTCGTGTTTGCTGAGCCAAGAATTATAAAACAATTCAAAATTAGTCAGCCCACTAATCTTAATTAAAAAAAATGACAGAAAGATACAAAATAATCCATTAATAACCTCTGCAGCAGGTTATCTAATTACTCTGCAATAAACAGAACATGGCCAAGATTTCTTCATCTTTTAAAGCTGATGGGCCATTTCCCCTTCAGAAAAAGGCACTCTTATTCTGGCATCATACTCCCCCTTGTCTTCCCATGTGTGTTTTGTCACAGGTGCTCCAGCAGCTGCCTTGACCATGGGCTCAGCAGCCCACCGACATGCCTGACTGGACATGCCCTTGCAGAGGCATTGCTATGGTTCAGAAAAACACTGTCATTACTCACAGTCACTTCTGTTTCTGCTGACCTAGTTCTCCCCTCTGTATCACACACCATAACTCTGCAGGAGGGTCTTGGCTCTCATTATGGCAGTTCTTGTGTATTCATGTACTTTCTATGCATTTTAACACCCTCCCCCCAGCCCCTTTTTGCCTGTTTAGAGTATGAGAAACAGCTGTTGATTTTTTTTTTCTCAGTTCTTCTGTGTGCCTAAAAGGGGAGCTGTAGAATCAATAAGCTCTTTACTAGGAGTTAGTCAAGAAGGCATTAATAGAGCCTTAGAATTTGATACAGGCTTTACTGCAGCCAGTCTCAGTCTTTTATGCTAAGATGTGCCAGCACGTATTCCCACTAAAAAGAGTAGCAGCTATAATGTTAAAACCCCCTACAGTTCTGCAAACGGTACGGGGAGCAAAAGTAATGAATCTCTAAGTTTCACTTTGTTAACGTCTTAGAAACTTCTCTCTCCTGTATCAAATTCTTCTCAAAACTTTGTTTGCCTTGCACTGTGCTTAAACCCCCAAATGACATGCACAAAAAGAAAGTGTGCGGGTATTAATTTAGTTGAAAGGTGACATAATTACAGGTGATTTCCCAGAGGCTGTGCTAACACACTGTTTTCTAGTGCTGCGAACCCATTGAGTCCAGCTCTTATGCAGTGCTCCCAGAACAAGACCAACCCTTGCCCATTTGGGGAGAGAGCTTGGAGGGTTGGTGGCTTCCACCGGAGAGACCCAGCTGCTCTTGGACAGCACAAGCTGCTGCATGCAGCCAGCGCAGGGAGAGGCAGCGCAGAGTGCTGGCACCCATGGAGACCGCATGGGCAGCCTCGGCTCTTGTCGCACTCAGCACTCGCTCATGTTGTCCTCATTAAGCTCCATCTATGTCTTTGCAACCTTTCATGTCCTCAGCTCAGTTGGGCGAGGGTGAACGCTGTCACCCTTCACACGTGGTGCAGGGCAGGATGCAAGCACTTGCTCCTGTAAAGGCTGGATGTGAGAGGCTGATGCGGGCTGGGAGATTCAGCAGAGGGAAGTGATCTTGCCCAGTAGTTACAGCCAGCTCCTGGGAATAGGAACCAGCAACTTACTGCCTCCCCTTTTCTGTGTCTCATTTTATCAGTGATTATCACTTAATTTAATCCACTTTTAAAATGTGGATTAAATTAAGAAAATGTTTTCACCTGCTACACAGCTAGTTGAAGCAAATAACAACATGACTGCCTCTCTGCCTCATGTCAAGAGATACTGAGTCTGTCTCAGCTTGCTTTTTATTAAAAAAAAAAAAAGTGGGGTGTATAGTCCTAGAGTATTGCATTGACTTCTAGTACTAGCTCTGCATATGTACTGCCATGCCACGTGGCGTGCCTGTGTGAGTTACCATGTGGTGACAGAAGACTCTCATAAGGCTGCTCTGTGGTTTCCAAAGCACCCTGCGAGCAATCTCTTCTCTCCAAAACTGCAGCCAGAATACCAATGCCTGTTGCTAGCTCCAGGAAAACTTACTGCTTACAGAGATTAAGGGACAGCATATGCTACTTGCAGCAGGTCTCCCTAACTTATATTGCAAATAATACAGACTTTCTTTTAAAGACTGCAAAGGGAGGAGAAAAAACGCACCCAAACTAATTCCTGAAGCTGCCTAGAGCAGTGCCACCTAGTGTTTCCTGCCATAGCAAATTAGCAAATTTTTTTTTTTTTTGCTGAAAAAGAAAAAAATGTTGCTGTGAAGTAGTGTAGCATTACCACAAGTGGGTTAATTTTCACTGTAGGAGACAGTTACAGTGTGGTCCTCAGCCCCGAGCATCCTACTTGGTGCTCTTTGGTTACCAGAGCACTGTGAGGAATAAATGAGTGTTGGTCTAACACTTTGGTTTTCCTCATTTTCCATGTCTGCCTCAGAATGCTACAGCGAAAGTGAACATGATGATCCAGAAATAACAGACACACCGCCTCCTCCCTACACAGTCCAGCAACCACCTCCTCCTTCGGTAAGTGTTTCAGTAATTATCTTTTTTCTTGTTGCTAGCCAGTTGGAACAAAACTTTCTTGAGGTGGTGGACCTTTGAGGAATAACCTAAAACAGTGGCTGGAAATATTCACCCTGTGCACCTGTGAAATGAGGGTGCTTTGATTGTCCCTGCCTCGTGGCAGAGCACGCGGTTATTGCAGCCTGCACTGCCGGGACCCTCACACTGTAAAAGAACAGCTCCTTCAGATGGAGGCATATTTGTCTTGCTGGAGAAAGGAAGGTGTCACCCTACCTCATACACACACTGTGTCTTTTCTTTACCAGGTTATTAACATGCTGACATAACCTAGTTTTTCATTCTATTCTTTTTTTTTTTTAATCAGTCCCAAATCTTCTTTCTTTTTGTGACACAGGTAGCATCATCGAACAGACTTGTATGTATTTATTTGAGTGAGCTGTTCTTAAGACTGCAGAATTTGAAAAGGCTTCTCTTCTTACAGTGATAAAATCAGGTCTTTTCCTTTACATCTGAAAAATAGACTATAAAAAAAGAAAATAGGCATCCTCCCAAAATCTTACTATTTTTCTCTCTTGCTGTAGAGTATTTGCCCAGAATATTCCTTCCTGCCTAGCTTCATTTCATAAATTAGAATAAGCACTATGCACCCTCATGTGTCTAATCAAATTAACTCACCTAATTATTAGCCACTTATCGCCCTATTAATCTTGTTTCTGTGTTGTTCCTTTTCCCAGTGATCTCATCTCCCCTTACATGTTCTTTAAGATACGAGGTTTACTTAATTCTGTGTTTAGAAATGAGCAATCTGGTTTGGGATGGTAATGCGCTAAAATAGGGAATCCTGAGTTCAAGCCTTTCCGTTTCCCAGCTGAAAGTTAACATCAAGGGGTATGAAGAAACATACTTAGTACTAAATCATCACATTGCATCTCATGTAAGTGAAGTGTCTGCTGCCTCACTGGTGTGGTACAGGTTCCTGTATGGCACGCTGAAATGACATCCAGTAGCTGGGGTGGGCACAGAGGCAGCGAAGCAGGAACAAATTTGAAATATACAGATGAGCTGGAGAAGCTTGCATGGTCACAGGCAATAATAAAAAGAAATTGCCTCTCTGGCAATCTTTAATTAGCTCGCGTAAAGCTGGGAGCGTATCTGCTTCCACTGTCACCCACTTGCCCCCTTCTGTTTCAGTCAGATAAGTCAGTCTCCACTTCCTCTCCTGAAAGGGCTGTGTAATGTTAATCACTGTTAATCACAATCCAGCTGGCACTCGGGGAGTGCACGGTGTTCGCTGCTGTGTAGAACATGATTCTTTATTGCCTGCATTAACTGGAAGTTAAATGTGGCTGAGTGGCTATAAATATCGGAGAAAATAAGAACCTTGGTAATACATTTCCAAGAGATATTCTGGGCTGAGGGCCGCTAATGAAGTGTCTTGAATTCTATACCTCAGTCGCTTGCCTTTAAGAGACTGTAGATGTCTTTTCTGTCTGCTCATCTCTGAGCAAATGCCTGCATTTTTCCAGATGATGGGTTTTAAACAGGTGCTGTGTTTTAGTTTTCTGTTTTTCTGGCTTCCTGCTGCTTGTCAGTCCGTTGCTGCAGAGGCAATCTCCAGTTGTCTCCTTCCCATACACTCTTCTTGAGTTCTGGCCTCCAGGTTTTAGCAGGGGATGCACGGGAGGCAGGCAATGCTGCAGGTGCCGGGGGGTCCTGCTTCCTCAGCCTTTCCCTTAAAGGTCAGCTTCCCTCCAGTGTTTACCTCTCTCAGCTGATTTCTCTCCTCCTCATCCTAATGTTAAAATCCCTTCTCCCATGGACAAAGGTTAGTGTCTCCTCCTGAGCAAAGCTGTCATCTTTTCACCCCAGAAGTGGTCACTGGAATAAGCTCCAGCTGCTATGGGTCTGCCCTGTGCTCAGCTTGCTTATGTGGTGGGTTGGAACAGTTAGGTACCAACACCGATGTGTTTGACAACAAGTCAGAATCATCTTTTAAATACCTGATTTAATGCCCCTTTCCCTTCTGAAGAAGTACTGGAGCAAGAAAACCACTGGAAGGGTCAGGCAAGCACAGCTTCCACTGGAAAGTCAGCTCTAGGAGTGGAGCTCTTGGTTGTCTCAGGGAAGGCTGATTAAAGATTGCTTGCTGCTTGCTTATTTGCTACAGGGTTTTTCAACCAAGCTGTGAGGTCCCAACCATGTGATGGGTTTGGGTTGATACTCTGTGGGTACATCACTTTTGGGAGGCCTGCTTGAATCTTTTCTGATTGCTACTGGAAGAGAAAACCACCCTGAAAACCCAGCCCAGCATCCAGAATGCCACAGGCATTGACTGGGGTTCATTTCTTTTTATTATTTCTGTCTTTTTTTTGAAAGTTGCACAACTTCTTCCTCCCAAGTGCTAAAGGATTTCTGCAAAATAGGAATTAGGAGCTACGGACATTTTGGAAAAGCAAACTATTGCTGTCTTAAGCAGAAAGGCCTCCAAACTTTTTCAGATCAACTCCAGACTGAATACTGTTAGTCCAGAAACTAATAGCAACCCAGGTGCAAGCTCTGTTACGTGTTAGAGCAGCAAACTTTTTGCTGTACTTCTAGCACAAAGTTTTCACTTGCTGTCCTGTTCTCTGCTGACCCAAACCATTTTGAAACTTGAAAAACAAAAAAGAAGTGATCATAAACTTTCTATGTTTATGCATGCTTTTGGGTTCTGTGGAAGAAAAAAGCAAGTGAGGAAGAAGTAAATTTTAACATCTGCAGGACAGAAGTTAAACTGAACATTTGTGTTAATTTCTCCTCATGTGAGTGGATTTGCAGTTCAGAAACCAGCAGCTATGTTGAGACAATAGATTGCAGCAGTCCCAAAATAACAGTTGAGGTGTTTCATGGTGATAATTTTTCCCTAAAAGATGCCTAGAGACTCATTATTCTCCAGTGGAATCCTTATGATTTGCTGGCTTAAGCATCTGCTTTTTAAAATGTCCCCAAACGGAGATTTATTATTATATGGATGATTGCAAAACTTCCAAAGAAACCATTCCAGTAAGTTAGGTAAACAGTTGTCTTCTCACCCAAATTTTTTTAATTTAACACAGAATGAAAATGAAAACAAAAATATATTCCACTCAGTGAGGCACAGTATTTGTTTCAGTCGCACTTTCTTTTACATGGACGAATGCCAGAAAAATAGAGGTGTGATCTAACATCTTCCTTCCTTGTATTTGAATAATTGAAATTAAACCAGCACGTGAGCAAGAGGTTTTACTGTTCAGTTGTTCTGCTTGGCTGCAGAAATGCTTCAACAATTTGTCTTTGCAATAGGATCTCTTAGATTAAATGCTTCAGGTCATCTTTATTCCCAAGGGTGTTTTCATCATTCATACTTGTAGTTTATGATAGCATCTCTTTCTCCTTTGCTTTAGGGTGCATTTGTGAAGGTTTCCTTCATAAAAACAAAAACGCACCTGAAACACAATGCTGTACTTCTCATAATAGCAATATAAATTGTCTGGTGCCCACAGTGTTTGGGACAATTTTTGAGGAATGGCTTTGAAAATTTACAAAAGTGAAGAAAGTGCTACAAACAAATGGTGACTCACAATCTGATATTGGTCATTCTCATCTTCTGAATTCATTAGTAGCTACATGATACAGCTAGACCAGAAGCACAGGAAGGCAAATCTAATTTGCTTTTTCTTAATGTAAAAAGGAAGTTGTATACATTACAGCAACACTGAATTGCAGAAGCTTATATATCATAATCCAAAAAATTGTCACTCTTGGTTTGGTTTATAGGAAAACATCTGATTCGTAGTTTACCAGGTTATTAACAAGTATTCCAGGATGGTCCCTTTATTGTGTTTGGAGCTTGTCTGGGTTTCCCTAGCAACACCTTCACAGTAATTTTCAGTACTTCCAGTTTAGTTATCATCTGTTTTAATCCTTACACAGATCTATTCTACATATGTATTGAGAACATAAACTCGCCAGAATTGTGGTCCATTTAGTCTGGTATTCTGATTCTGGCATTTGCCAGTAGCAGATGATTTGCAGAAGGAGTAAATTTCTGCAGTAGCAGATACAAGAAATCTGACTTTCATATCATGATGATCTCATCACGATTTCTGATAGTTTCTGCTGAGAGCTTCACTATCATGCTTTGTCTCCCCTTGTCTTCCATTACTTTATTTATTACTGTCAATTAATCCTCTTCTGGGTATTTATATGTATATTTGTGTGTTTGTGTATGTATTACTTGTGTATTTGACTCTCTTGGCTCATCTTTTCCGTGGTGTTTGGTGGCTAAGAAGCAGACTAGTGCTAGTTCTTATTGTGTCAGTTGCTTCTGGTGACCAGATAATAGTACAACTCAATCAACTTACATGCCTACTGTAGACAAAGACCTAGGCATCTATTTGCTTGTCTGGGAAGCTAAATACTTTTCAAAACTTTATTCTTTCTCTCAACCTTTCTTTACATGGAACTATACATCTACCACATCCTTTTTCATTCCACTCCTAGCTCCTAATGATTACTGTTAGGTGTCTCTGAGACCTCTCTGGTTGTAAGCACTTTTGTTAAGGCACAGTGACAAGTACAGTGTGGAGGGCCCTAGGATGTCTTAATAATTTCTGGTATGTTTCTAGTGATGTTTGTGTCCCTTTCTAGATTCATGTGCTGAAGAATGAATTTTAGCAGGTGAATGAGCAGCACAAATCTTGTGCCATTCCCCTTATCCTGCCCTCTGCTCCATGGCTGTCTGTTTTTCCTTTTCCACCATTAACTTGGCATCATATTACTCGCCAGCTTCCTTGCCTTGGTGAATGATTAGTCCCTTGAATGGACCAGGTAAAATGGCTTTGTGTGCTGAGAAGGTGAAGGTGCTTCAGTGCTTGTGCCCATTTCTGTCTATCCGTGGTTATGGCATTGGTGGATTTATTGAATGCTTCAAGACAACTTCATATTCAATGGCTAATTCAGACTTTCCGTTCCACACTCATGATTAGACCAATAAAATGAAGACAAAGTAAAGAGTGAGCGTGAGTAGGAGACCTAGCACGTAATGCTACATTCAACACAATATTTTTCTTCCTTCTTTTGTTTCTAGGCATTGTCAGGTTTTTATCTGTTTTGCCTCTGGCTTTCTTGTGGCTTAGTTCTGCAACTACTGCTCTGCAGGAGATTGGCTGCCATACCTCAGGCTTGTTTGGATGGATAATTAATCAGATTACATCAATTTTTGGTCAGTTAGCATTTCAGCTGCATATCTGTAACATGTAGAACCTATGAACAGGAATAACTCCAAAAATCAATTTTCTTTTCTCTCCTCTCCCTTCACCCACCCCAATTTGTTCCATTTGTTCCTGGAAAGCAGGATCAGAAGTCTTCTTTCACCTCAACGGTGTCAAGTGAAGCATCTTGTTCTCTCTCCTCTCCTGAAAGCACTTTCAACTCTCAAGAGTCGTCTTCTTCCTTGACGTCCAAAGTGGTTTATTCCGAGAGGCAGTCCTGGCTTGACCTAGTTAACAGCTCTGCCACAGAAGAGGGTGATCAGCCTTTAACCTTCTGCGTACAGATTCACTCTGATGAGCCGCCAGAAGTAGACTCTGAAGAAGCAGCAGAAAGTGAGGAGATCCAGCTTCCGAAGTCCAGTGGTGGATCCCCAAACTCTTTTTTAGATCCGGATACGCATTGTCTAGCTGTGCCAGATGCAACAGGACAGAGATCACTAGCCAAAGGTGAGCTAATGAAAGTGGAGACTTTTGTCTGCAGAGCCATACACTGTGGGAGTTTAGGATTTTTCCTCAACTTCCTTTCCCCTTCCTTCCTTTATGGTCTTCACTGAAGAGTTTTCCAGCGGTACATCATTTATAACAAACATTTGGGTTATGGTGCATTAAGTGTATAACCTAGTATCTAACTGCTAAGTACCTTTACAGCTTTTCTCAAATTTTACCTATATGTTAAGATCATAGCCTGTGTATTAAATCCTATCATAGACATATTTTTATTACTTTATTTCAATACAACTGTCTTTTATTAGTTAGGATTGAATCAAAAATTTAAGAAAGTGTGTCACAGAACTGACACCCTAAGCAAAATGGCATACCTAGGAAGTGGTGAACGTGGGATTAGGTCAATCCAATTTTAAAAATAAGAGCAGTTGCATTTATTTCCAGTACGTATTCCCTATTTGTTTCATTGAACTTCATTGTAGTCAAGGGGAAACAACTGCAATCCTGAATCAGAAAGTCCATTAAGACTGGATTTTGTTTAAGACAATGGGTATCGGCATAGATATCCTCCTACCAAAGTGTACTGCTAAATTAAAAAGGTGGCACAGTTCCAGAATTTAGTCATTGTTGCTGTTAATAACTCTCCTACCACAGCGAGGCAATGTGCCTTGCCTTTTGATCAAAGTTGCATCTTCCTGCATTAAAAGCAGTTGAAGCACAAGAGGCGTTTCTGGCATACAATATTCTGAAATGAGAAGATACTCAGCATGCTCCCTGGAGAGAGAATACATAAGGAAAGAATGATGTTCTTGTGCATTGGCTCTACCCATGATTCGAATTCCTTATAAAGATTTGGAGTACTTTGCTGAAGGAGCAGTGTAGTCTCAGTTCAATGCAAAACAACATTGCCTCCAAAAGTTTAGGCTGAAGGTAACGCAAATTTGGAAAGAAACAGCACTGGACTCATTGGGAACTTCAGGTATTTCTTTGTAGGTGAACTGGCCACTGAGAGCTGAATCACATAACTGATAGTATAAGGAACATTAGTTACATTGTCAGTCTCCCAGTTGTTTGATAGATATCAATAGTTAGCACCCCTTTAGTTTGTCATATATTTTTCTGATTTTACAAAAAAAAAGGAAATTGAGCGAAGTACAGATCTTAAGAAAAGTGAAAATTAATTTCAGAGTATTTTGAACTTAGCTTCATTATCCATCTTTTAGGCTGCTCTGCTAGAGACTTCTGTCGCAATGAAGATCAATAAGAATCAAAACTGAGAGTGAGCACATGTAGTATTTGTATGTGGTGGAAAAGAGTGGATGTTTTGAGAGAGTTCCCATGGAATCTAATTCCCATAAGCTCTGGCACTGTAATCAGGGAAATGGCTGGGGCTGGCAGACATGGGGTCCCTAATTAAAATGTCACGAAGATGTAGTAAGTGCATTGCCTTTTGTAATTTGACTTTCTGGGTTAAGTTTGGCCAAGTAATGCCTTTGGGAAGAAATTTTAGGTACATTCAAGTGGATTGTTGGAGTGTAGGCCATATACGTCATGGTGTCTTATAGATCCCTTGGAGCAAGGTTCAGTGATTGCTCTTCAGAAATCTAAACTCTTGCTTAGAATCTGTTACTCTGGTATTGTCAGAAATCCTGCAATAATGCATAGGTTAATGCTTTCCATCGTAACCTGAGGCTGACAGATAATTTTATGGATGGTCATAGAATTAGCATGACATATTCATAGTCATTTAAAGCACAGTTTGATAGACTCAGTAATACTTAACAGTAAAAAAGGGATTAAAATGTAAAGCAAGGCACATTTTGGTATATTCCTGCCATTTGCAAGAAGGTTTAATTTTCCAAAAAATATTCCTGGGGAAATGAATTCTTCCGTTGCTCACTACTTAGCTGATGGCTGACCCTGATTGCAGAACACTTCCATTCTAGCCACACTGGTGATCTCTGATGAAATTCCAGAAATAGATCATTTCAGTGAGGCAGTCACTATGGAAACTGCATAACCTCACTAGTTACTGTCTGCATCATAACCCGCTGTTGAGCAAGTGAGACGTACACCATACACGCATTTTTCTTTCCTTTATCAGTCTGCATAGTATGGATGGGGATAGGATGGAGCACGTCAGTGCGGGGTTGTGTCCCCCCCTCCTTCCAATGGCCACTGAAAAAATAAATGAAATAATTTGCAAAGAGATCAGTTAAGCTACTTCAGTTTGAGAATGTGGTGGAAAAAGGATTAATGTAAAGTAGCAATTCAGTTCCAAATGAAAGTTCTCAAAAAGGATGCAGTTCTGGTTCTGTGGCTTATCCCCCAAGAATTCCCCCCTCCAGCTAGTTGACAGGGGTGTGCACAAGTACTGTGAGATGAGTTCAAATTGTGGAGTAAATGCTAGCTGCAAATCCTCCTCCTTACAACAACTAATAAAAACACCCGTAAAAACACCCTTGTTATCTGATGCGAAACAAGGCTGCATACCTCAATGCAGTCCATATTATTTGCTTTACAATGCTTCTGAATAGTGCATTTCTGGCAGCTCATCATGTTTCAGAGTAATGAGACTACATCCAGAAGAGACAGGTCTGTCTTGCATCGGCATCTATCCTGAAGGCGCATGTCCCGTGTTTGTAAAGCTGGCCCTGCTCTTATCAGAAACAGCTATGTGCCCCTTGAAGCCACTCCCCTCAGAGCCTTCATGTGTGTTCATGCTCTCTCCTTCTCCTGGAAAGAACAGAAAAAACCTGTCACACACTCTGCTTTGTGGCCACATTCTGCTTAGTAAAACCCCATGAGGAATTTGTGGTTGTAGCTGATAGCACCCTGGAGCTGAGGCAAAAGTTTTCGAGAACTGAAGAGCACTTTTGTTGGCAAAAGTCAGAAACAGAGGCCAAAACATGAAAAGTTGGCACCTAGAAGGAAGAAAGAGTAGCTGTGGCTTTGTGGGAACAGCTTATCGTGAAAATACAAATGTAGTGAAGAAACTTCAGCAATGAGTTAAACAAAGAAAAAAAATTCTCAGAGATAAATGGATGAATCTCTGCAAGAGAAACTACAGATTCAACTAAATGATCATGGATTATTTTTTCAGTGAAAAGTATTTAATGAAATGTGCTAAGCAACTCTAAGTGTCTGGTGCAAGGAGCTGTATCATACGATATTTTTAACAAACTTTCCAGCCATTCTTGGTGGTGTTATGATAATTCTAAGCCTTAATACTCAGCGCTGATTACTGGGAAGAGGTTACGTACCAGGGGGCAAGACAAAGGTACAAAAAAGGAGAGTTTAACAGTTTTCTCTTTTGAAAGGAGATCAGCATTAGGTTTCCATTTACTTTGCAGGAATATTAAATACTTCCATGTTGCAGCTTGCTACAAGCAGAGTGACAAAGGATTCAAAGCTGCCTGTGACACAAAGAAACTGAAAGGCAAACAAGAAACGGCTGAGCATACAAACAACTATCTGACTACGTGCTCTATATCCAGAAGCTGGCCTTGTCCTGTCTGGGATGACTAGATGCACTCTGCAGCCAAACTCCATCCTTTGTATTTCTTCTGGCAACCGCTAGAACAAAAACTATCTGACTATGACACACCACCACCATCATCAAAAACTATGATAACAAAAGGAAGCCACGGAAACTGAGAGGTTACTATAAGAACAGAGAAATGTGTGTTTGTATTTATTTAGGGATCTTCTACTACAGCAATAACATCCTTCTTCCTTGCATTTTCTGAGGGTTTTATGATCATGGGAAGTTAACGTGTCTTGGCAAGGAATTCTTATGGCACCACTTCTGGCTTATTCATTTTATCTTAGCTCACAGTAGCTGGTAGAAGATCTGGTGTGTGCTGGTATTTTGAAAAACCTGAAAAGCTTTTCACGCACCATTTGAATTTTGTCTGGGTTGGTTTTGTGGGAAGGAGTTGGTTAAATAGGAGCTGGATGCAGTCAATTCCTTCTTTTCTCAGAACTGACATCCTTTTCCCCTCTGAAGTCTGCCTGTGCCAGTAATAGCCAGAACAGATTCTCTGGTGTGCTCTGGCCCTTTTGTTCCTTCTGCAAAAGTTACAGAAAATAGCTAGATTGTAGCTGAGACTAGCCAAGAAGTATGCCTATGGCAAGAACAACTGTGGAGAGAAAAAACTGTGTTTGAATGATTATTTTGCTACTCATCATAAAGGCTTTGGAAATTACTACGAAAGCATGGTGTTACGGTTTTGTGACTCTCTTGTGTTGTTTCCAGTTCAGTCACAGTTTGTTAAAATGGCATCCCTCACTGCTGAGTTTGCTATAGCATTATAGTCAAGAGCATCTAACTGGTGGTGTTAACACACTTTTCCTGTTATTTTCTCTCACTGTCTCCTACCTTTATTTCTACATTTGCCAGTAAGGTGTTTGCCTAAGCTATGCCCTCCTAATTCAAATGTTTCCTGTCTTTTCTGTTCTGTGGAAAATGTGATTTCCTTGAGATGTTGTCATATTCCCATTGAGAAATCAACTACCACTATGCAGAATGGATGGGTGTGGAGTGGTGTGTGTAGGTAGGTAGGTATGGGCAAAAGTGGTTTATGATTTTTTCCTCTCCTGTCCCCAGCTGGTTCTATATGTTATCCCATTGGCATCAAATGTTTTGGCAGAATCAGCCACAAGTAGCAAAGATAAGAGGAAGAAGCAGATTTTTTTTTTTTCCCTGGGATTAATACACAGTTGGAGAGCTGTGAGATCTCAGTTAGAGAATGGGAGAATAACTATTTACATTTCTGCTTAGAGTTAATAAGATATGTTCTGTTGGAGGTGGTTTTCAATGCAAAATGCTCTTTCTGTCAAACATTGCCAATTTCTGTATCTTTACCTCTGGGAAACAATCAGCTTGATTTTTCACAGCTGCTTTTTGAAAAGTTCTGGATAATGTCAGTTTTGTAGGCTTAAAGAGTATTAAAGTTGAGATTTCGGGCAGGCTCCTGTATTACTGCTGCAAGGTGGGGAGTCTCAATACCTTAATGTCTCCCATCTGTGGCAAGCTGGCCATAAGGACAGTGGAAGCTGAAAATTGAAGAGGTGAAGAACTGGCGTGTTGAACATCTGGCAGCTTGCTCCTGTCTGTGATATCTTCTTTACGTTAGAGGGAAATTCCAGACAAGTGGCATCAAGCCACAAAATTGTGTTTTACTTCTCCTGAAACAGATTTTGTCAGAAGTTCTGACTTGCCTGAAATATTACTTTATTCTCCTCACCCCAACCTAGACGGTCTCTTTCTCTTGAATGTTAAAATAGCTCAGGTCAGGACTTCCCTTTTCCTCAGATCAGCACTGGTTCTTTTCCACTTCTCCCACTGTTGAGTCTGACAAAGTTGAGAGCCATACAATACTATATAATTTTTATAGAAGTGCTATGAAGGTTTAGCAAGCTGCAAGGCTTGTGAGTGAAGGGCGCTACGCAGCAGCCCAGGAAGACTGATCCCTCCTGTGGCATCACTCAACAGAATTGCTTATAGTTAACACTGCCAAGGGAAGGGAAAAGTGCACAACGCAAGCATTCTCCTGTGTGCATGTACATGCTCATAAAAGCACACAATATATAATATCCTTCCACTGTTGCCATTTGTTCCTTACCACTAATTCTTTAGTAGGTCCTGAGAGAAAACTGAATGTGTTTTATCTCTAGAATAGGATGCGATAAAGAAGTGCTGTAGTAGCATTTGAGTTTCTGAACTTGCGTGCCTGAGTCGGAAAGTGCTTAGCTTAAAGAGTACCGGTAGAAGAGATAATTTGCAATATTATATTTTGAAGTGACTTTGAACATGCCTGATGTTAGCTGTGTGGCCCGGATGGAGAGACTCACTCCAGAGCAGTGCTAGTGGGGCCCAACCTGTCCATGTTCTTAAGAATTTTTGTCAGCGTAATGTATTCATCATTACAAACCTTTGGAGGTTAATAAAGCTCAGAGTAGGGGTGGTACATTTGTCTTTGGGAGGCTGACACAGACAATCTGTTCATTTTTACACTGGGGCCTGATCTTGTGCACTATGTGCTTTTTATGTAAATTTTTACGTTGTAATGGAAAGCAAATATATTGTAACAATTCAGTAGTATGGTCTAGACAGCCCAGGGTTCACAGGAGGAATCCAAATCACTGAAGCCTAAATATACAGAACTTGTGAATGCCTGTGCTTCTGTTAGACACTTGATTATCTGCAGGCCAGTGCTCTGACTCCAGGTGCAAGGGAGTTCAGCAATACAAAGTTCTGGGAAAATGTGCTGTGTGAATGTTTGAAGCTGGAGAAAAAGTCCAGTCTGTATTTAAGCCTTGAGTCACATTGCTTTATCTCTGTTATCCAACCTTAATTTTCTCTTGGGTGTTTTGTGGGGAAAACAAGCAAGCAAACTACCGGTAGTGCTTTCTTCATTTACCTTCATGGCATTAAGAGGCTTGTGAAATACTGTAATGCACCATTGTGTGAGTGAGGAGAAATACATTTTCTTATCACAGATCATTTTATTGGGCTTGTTACTTGATTTCTAGGCATAATGCCTCTCCCTTTCCCCCACTACCTCTCTTCCTTTTGGATTTACAGCATCTATCTATTGTGTTCAGTGGCAGCTTCAAGTCTACAAAGCATGGGCTTTTGCTTTCTGAGCTAGGCTCAGGGGAACTCATGACAGTGAAGGTGAAAGTTCAGATAGGTATCAGACAGTCTGGCCTCAATTTCTAGAGGTTTATTGGCAGACCTACTCTTTGTCAACAGCAACAGTATCTGCTTCTATACAAAAACACAGTATTAAGATACTGCTTTGTTGTCTTTTAAATGCTGTGGGAGAAGTTCGCTGCTCATCAGTGCACACAAAGATGGAGAAAAAAGTACTATATAACTCATACCTGGCTCTACAAAGCCAGTAGGTTTCACTCATGCTTGTTTTCCAGCTGTTTCCTGAAATCCCGTTTAGCTGCTCCATTGTCACTCCCTTCATCCACCTGATCTGAAGTATCTCGTGTATTCCTTCCCCTCTGTAATTACCTGACCCTGATCAATCTTTTGGGGGTGAGAGTGGTGGAAGAATAAGAAATAGGAGAGGTGTTTAAGGTTTCAATCTCAAAAGAATGCAGGAGCTGAGTGCGTATTGTTGGTCAAGTGCGTCATCTGAGAGCCTTTGGCAGGGCTTTTCTGACTTTGGCTCCATCTTGTTCTGTGCTGAGTATTACTGTCCTCCTCAACTTCTGCTGAGTATTACTGTCCTCGTCACCTTCACCCACAAGTGCATGGAAGACATCAGAGCACTTAGCATGGAAGCAGAGTGTTTAGTGAGGGTGTTTTCTCACACTTGCTGCTTTGTTAACCCTTTTAGGACACTGACGAGCACTATAGGTTAACCTCAGAAAATACCTGGAGCAGGGACCTTACGTCCCCCATGGCTTGATTGTTTTTAAAGTCACTGGACAGGATCAATGCAATTTTTTTTTCTTCTTCTATACTCTTTCTTGGATATCTGATAAAGGTCAGTTTATCTCTGAAAGTGATAGTGTGTACAGTCCTGGTTGGTGATGTCTACAGTAGAGCTTAGCCAGTCTTGTGCAGGAGATGGCTAATGAAACAAACAGCTGCTTCATCCCAAGAAAGTAGGCAGGAAATTGGTTATAATTGCGAGCCTCATGGCACGAGATGACAGTTTTCAGGAAATACTACTGCCATGTTTTATGCCTTACACTTGCATTTTTTTTCTATTTCCTGAAGCTTGTTAAATATACAACAGTTCTCCTTTTCCTCCCCCAGCACTGTACCAATGTTGGAAGTTATATTTAGCTCTTGTTAAGTTACAGCAGGCTTTTTATAATCACAAAGTAGTGAAAAAAAGGCCAGCAACATAGGGAAGGCAAATATTTGTAGCATATCATAAACCTTTCTTTTAGTCTTAATATTTAGAAAGAACAGAAGTGTAGGAGGATGCTGACTTTTTAAAACATGGAAAAGATAAGAGACAGCCTCAGTGTGCTGACATGTTGGAGAAGTCCTTTTGCTGCAGTATGAGTGAAAAAAAGGATTTCTTCCTTTTGTTCAAAAAGTGTTGGCTGCCTGAAGTTGATTTTCCGTAAATGAAAAAAGTGCTCAGCCAGTTTGACTGGCACATGGAGGACTGCAGTCGAGAAGAATCACCAATACTATCCCCAGTGAAATAAAAACAAATGTTATCCCAGAGGATCTTGAAGGACTCATTAGCACCCTGAAAACACCAGTATCTTTAAGATTTTCCTTTCTTGCAATGTGGACTGAGGGACAAGAAGTGAGTTGTGCAGTCTGTCACTGAAAATGGCCTTCTGCCAAAATGACCCTGTGTATGTCTGGTACATTTTTAGTTTGTTCATTTATAAGTTGTTTTATTTTGAAAAATGTCTTTGCTTCAATTTTTATCTTTATGCTATTGCATTCTCAGCTGCCTACTAGCTTTTCCTTTCTTTCCCTCTTTGTTGTGAAACATGGTGCTGCATCTTGGGACCCATCAGAATAATTAAGGTGGAGATAATCAAGGCTTGTGAGGCACCATAACCAAATTCTGTGCTTCAATTTGTGAAACTCAGGGGTTAGGCATCAGATGCCCCAAGGATTCCTGCTTTAATCTGTTTTCAAGGGATCTTCTTTTGGGGCCCCTGAAATGTTTAATTTCATTGCTCAGTTTTTTTAAACTCTAGTTTCAATAATTACCAAAACCTGGCAGTGAATTGGTATACCAAATAGAATTTGACCTGTGAGTTGCCAGGTAGAAATGTAATTCACTCTGTGCAGCATGCAGGGAAAGGTGAATGGATGTAGATACCAACAAACTCGTGTTCATTCAAATGTAGCATCAGTGACAGTTGATCAAAGTCTGTGATATGTTCAGAGCATTAAAGTGGCACTCTATCAGTGGAAATACACGCTTGTATCTGTTTCAATCATGACCTGATGCTTAAAAACATTTGAATCTGGTAGTATGTCTTTTTCATGTGCATTATTACGCTATAAATTACCCTAAAAATTGCTCTTAGTTTTAACTCTAATACCATTAGCTTTTGACTTGGCTAAGAGCCTTCCCGGTGGCTGAACTTAACATTTCTGCTATCTGCTGCCATATTCACGTTCTCATACCCGATTTGTTCTTCTCCTTGCAGATCAGGAAAAATGTGGTGATGATGATGAGATGGAGCGACTTTACAAGTCATTAGAACAAGCAAGCCTGTCTCCCATTGGTGATCGTCGGCTGTCAACGAAGAAGGAGCTTAGAAAGTCATTTATCAAACGTAGCAAAAACCCCTCCATTAATGAGAAACTCCACAAGATTCGAATGCTGAACAGCACGTTAAAGGTGAGGTCTCAGAGCAAGCCAAGAAAAAGCCTGAGAGAAAGAAACAGTTTGGCTGAAAAAAGAAGTAAGCCCAGATTTCAGCCAAATTCTAATTACATATTTACTTAAAGCCCCAGAGAATTTGGTTAAGTTTTTGGAATTGTTTTCTACTTCATTCTGAATACTGATCTGCGTTTTGTTGTTAAACCTGAACTGGAAGCAGAGCCAGTAGTTCAGAAGGGACTTTTCTTGCAGAAGTTCCTTCCAGCCCATTTGGAAAATTTAATAAAGAAAGTTTCTCTTAGCTGGAAAATGTGCAAGTTC